TGTTTTGGGGTTTTCTGTGTGTATTTTGTTTTGTTGGGGTTTTTTACCTAAATCATGATCAGGTGAAATTAGGAGTTATTACCAAAGTAATCTCTGATATTGCAATCTGTAGAGTTCTGTATGCATGAAGCTTTTATTTGGTGTGTAGCAGTGAATCATCTAAATGCCATTTCTAGTATTTAACAGCTATTTAAAACATCCTGAGCCTTACAAACACTTCATTAGCATTCTTCCTTCTAAGGACAAGCACCATTCCTGGTTTAAATCATCCCCCTCCCTTAAAGCTTGCATTGGAAAGGCACAGCGTTTTGTCAGCTGTGCACCCGTAACCTTGAAACCAAATCCTTCCCAAGCCCAAAAGAAATACTTAGAATTATATTTTTGCTGTAGTTGTACCCTTTTGACCAGTCTATATTTTCAGCTTTATTGTTGCATGGGATAAAAATGTCCTGTTGTGTGAATGCCAGGCAGTTGGTAGAACAGTTGCAGCAGTCTGTGGTGTATCCTTCCTAAACTAGGAACGTTTTGTTCTGGACAGAGAAAAAGGTTTTTCTTCCATTGTAAAACTTCAGTAATTTTGAGAAGAGAATAAATCTTCCATCCTGTTTGAACTTCTTAGATTTATGTTGCAATTGCATTCATTGTAAGCTCATGCCTTGCCCCACTTCTCTTTCTCTGGCCTTTTTAAGTGCACTAGAGTGCCGTTTTAACCAAGGGTGCAAGTTTTAAACAGGACAGGTGACCTTTGTGTAAAACTCCATGCTGTAGGAACAGATGAGGCTGTTCCCTCTGTACTGTTAGTGGCAAGGAAACCGTGCTAGAGACTGTAGCTGAGAAAGAGATTCAGACAACATGCCAAAGCTTCAAAGCACTAACATGCTGATGGCTGTGGCAGCCTCTGAATGTGTGCTGTAACCTCTTCAATTATTTGGCTCTTCAGAGACTCAGTAAAGCCAGAAAAGTGTCCACACCCCTTGTTCTGACAGCCAGAGAACTGTGACCTGTGCTCAGGGACCTGGGCCAGTGGGAGGTGTCCCTGCCCATGGCACGGGAAGGGAGCTGGATGGTCTTTAAGGTCCCTTTCAAACCAACCATTCTGTGATTCTGTGACTTGTCCTGGCACCTGCTACCAAAATGTCCCCTTTTCCTACAGAAGCGCAGCAGTTGCTGTTTCCAGAAGCAGCCATTTCAGTAGGACTGTAGGAGTTTAAAGACTTGGTTCTGTTTCACTTGGGACCATAAACCTTATGTAACTGGGAAATGGGAGACTCCTCCAGGAAGGCCAGCACCAGCTCCCAAGTTGTGTTGTTTCAGTGATTGCAGGGACTGACACAAGAGGGATATCTAAGGTCACATCCCAGATTTCCAGAGTGACTTTACTGGCATCAGTTGAGTGACTGCACATTTACATCAGTGCAGGCAGCTGAGATCAGAATCTGGACCTTTGCCTACGAAATACGGCGGGGAGCTGAGGAAAGTCTGTGTTAAATATAGAATAAGCTAAGAGCAAAGCTCTGTTTATGTCATCATAAAGCAGGGAATAAGCCATGGGTGGAATCTGAGCATTCCCAAGCAGCACATCTGAAAATTAATTACCAGGGTCCACCAAAGGAGGCAAAGGGAATGATGTCAAGCTTGTGACTCACCAGACTTCTATTCATGTTGTAGTTTGCTGTTTTCAGTGATGAGTGCCTGGCAAAAGCACAGCACCCACCTGGACAGCAGAGTGCAGGGATGTCCTGCCTTTCCTTCCCCTGTGCGGAAGGTATGCTCAGGACAGGGGTGTGCAGAAATGAGCAAGGTGAAAGGAAATGCACAGAAATTACTGTTCTTGGAAAGATGTAGAATATTGACTCTGTGTGTAGGCCAAAGCCTGCTTCATTCTTCCTCTAGTTGCAGCAATTCAGCTAAAAATAGCAGTTCACAAAGCTGTTCTTCAGGCAAAGTTTCCTGGCCTCAGGCATGATTAGGAAGAGTACTGAATTGCACATCCCAAATTGCATCCTTCCTTGTTACTGACAGCTGTGAGTCACAGGTAAGAGAAACATATAGGCTCCAGCTAGGAGGAATTACCTTTGTCCAGCTAGGAAGAATTACCTTTTCAAGACTGACATAAGGGTTAGAAAAACAGCTACTGTAGGAGCCTTAGCCCGTGAATCTATTTTTTTCTATAAACTGTCTTCCCAAGACCTCACTTACCAGTATTGTTCCTGTTTCTCTGTAACTTGGAGTGAAGCTCTCTCTCAGGAAGAGTGCTGGCACAAGGAATGGGAGTTTGCATGTCCAGCCTTCATGCTGGAGCTCTCTCCAGTCTCCTGCACCACAGGGCTGTCACCTTTGGGAGGCAGCTGGCACAAAGGGCAGTCAGGGCAGAGAAAGGAGACAGAACGCGTGGTTTTTTGGGATATCTTTGTGTGTCATACACATCTGCCTTAGGAAGAGCAGGTCAGTGGCAGCCTGACCTGAAAGAACCAGCAAAGGGCAGCTCTAAGAGCCCCCGCCCGCCTGCAGGTAGCTGCAGATGAGCCTCCAACTGCAGCCATCCTCTCTGCACAAATTTAATTTGATGACCTCAATACACACAAGAGACTGCAGAGCAAGAACTAAAAATATATCCCTTCCTAATGGTGTGCTAAATTCAGTTTTGACTAGTGTAAGTTTGAATTAATGTATTCACTGCACTCAAGTTTAAATACCTATGGATGTTCAGGATTTCTTTCACCTCAGGGAAAAAATACTTCCTTCAGCTTTCACAACTCTTCTGTTCCTTTCTCTGAGCATCCTGAATGGGCTCTATAAACCTTGGCTACAATTTCTGAGCATCTACAAATATTTCCTTAAGTAAAATATTAATAGCACGTTATCTTCTAAGGCCTCTCTGCTTGAAGGTCAGTTGAGTATTTTGCTGACATAAGCCTACTTTTGTTTTTGCAAAAGTGGGAGAAAAAAAAGAAAAAAAGGAAGCTTTGTCAGGCCTAAAAAGAGAGAAGGTCAAGTTTATAGATGTCTGGCAGAGATTGCCCTGGAATATTTTCATTTGCAGCTGGGTGGGACTAACAGGGCTTGATATGGTTAATGGGGCACTGGAAAGTCACAGGCTCTGCTCTCCTCCTGTCCTCTTAGAGCTGTTCTATGGCATCTTCTTAATAATACAGTTTTCCTACTTTACTGCTAGAAAATAGATATGTATACATTTGATCAGATACTTATTATGATGCTCTGATGTTTGCCTGGGTCCATGGTGCTACTACAGCTTATATTAAAAGGGAATCATCATATCTTGTTTGTGTTAAAGGCAAAACGGCATCACTAATCTGATTTGCACTTGACCATTTATGGATTTAGTGTCTGCATACATTCTTTTGGTCTTGTAAGTGTGGGGAAAAGGCAAGAGTAAAAATTGGAATAGAAAATTCTTTTAATGGAAGTGTAACTTCAAGGAATCGTAGAATGGTTTGAGTTGGAAGGAACCTCTAGTTCCAACCCCCCCTGCCATGGGCAGGGACGGTAGATGAAAATGTCACAGTTTCTTAAGTTTAAGATTTTGGTGGTTTTTTTTTTTTCAAGAGCTTGTGTTAATATGCTGTGATTTCAGAAGATGTTCTACCTCAGAAGTTAAACTCTGCAGGTTTTGCGGTGCAGTTGTTACTTTATTGTATCACTTTTCAGTGTGAACAGGCCTTTACTTAGCACACTGAAATCCCTAAATCTGCTTTTACTTCCATGTTTTCCTGCTGTAGCATTGAAAACTTCAGCATAACACTTAGTTATTTCTGAATGGGTCTTTTTCAATGGAAATTTTAGAGTGGGGACAGTTTTGTACAACCTGATGTGACCCAAATCAGTTAGATTCAACCCAAATTAAAGTTCTCTCAAGACAGCCCTACTTTATTTTTAATCCAGGAGGGATCCCAGAGGGATGTAGAAAGTCCCTTGGCAGGGACCAGCTGGAGCTTAGTGCAGAGGTGCAGATACTAGAGGGCTTGGTCCAAGCTCCTGTTTAAGAGTTAATGCTTTATAAAACCTGGTGTGACTAAAAGTCGTTCATGCTGACTCACGTTAGACAGGTCAGACCTGCAGATTTACTTCAGCCTAATCGTGTGTTAATATCAGTTTCTGCTTGACTCGGTGTCTTCCAGGACAGGGCGAAGTTGTATTTTGCAACTGCAGCACATTCGTACTTTAACCCAAATTCTTAAAAGTGATTGTATTCTGCAAAAGCGCATTCCTGGCGTTTGCCACAACCTCGCCAGAATTGGAGGGTTTGGGATTTGGGGCTGTTTTGTGGCTGGAAACAAATCCGGTACGTTCATACCTTCCAGATGTTTGTGGCCAAGTCAGAAACACTTAAAACAATCAATATTTCGAGGGGGCGGAAGGAGCAGGACCACCTCGCTGTGGGGGGGAGGCTGGGGCTGGCGGCCGAACGGGGTGGGGGATTTTCCTCTGGGATGCGGAGGGCGGGCGAGGGAGGGGAGGAGAGGGAAAGGAAGAGTTGCGGACGGGAGGGGCCGGGCAGGGAGGAGCGGGGCTGCGGGCTCTGCCGGGCCGGGGTGCCCCTGTCCTTCGGCGGGTCCGAGCACCGGGAGCCACCGGGGGCGGTGGCGAGGGTGGGCGGAGGGAGCGGGGAGGGAGCGCCGCGGCCCGGCAGCGCCGGCGGAGGCGGGCGGGGGGCGGCCCGTCCCGGCCCCGTCCCGTCCCGGGGCGCCCCGGCTCGCCCCGCCATGGGCAGCGGCCCCGGGACGGGCTGGCAGCGGCGCCCCGGCGCGGGGCCGGGGGCGGGCCGAGGGTGCTGTGACCCCCGGCGGGGCCCTGCCCACCCGCCCGGCTCCGGCACCGGCTCCAGCGGCTGAAGTTGCCGAAGTTGGGGTGGCTGCGATGTCCCTCGCCCGGAGGGAGCCCTGACGGGCGCCGCCCGTCCCGAGGCCGCCTGGCTTTGTTGGGTTTTTGTTGATTTATTTCCTTTTCGTTCCTGTTTTTCTGCCCTCCCGCCGCGGTGGATGGCCCGCGGTGGGCGCCGCTGGCCGCGCGGCCCCAGCCCGGGCAGGATGGTGGCAGCGGTGCTGGCCGGGCTGTCCCTGCTCAGCCTCCTCACCTGCGGCTACCTGGCCTGGGGCAGCCGCCGGGGAGGTGCCGGGGGGGCGCCGGAGAACCTGCTGGGAGAGGAGCCCGCGGCCGGCGCCTCCCGCTCGCAGCCGCACATCATCTTCATCCTGGCCGACGATCAGGGCTTCAGGGACGTGGGGTACCACGGGTCCGAGATCCGGACGCCCACGCTGGACAAACTGGCTGCCGAAGGGGTCAAGCTGGAGAACTACTATGTCCAGCCCATGTGTACACCATCCAGAAGCCAATTGATCACTGGAAAGTAAGTTTGCTACTGCTTCATCATTCACCTCTCCAGCCTATATGCTGCCCCTGTTGGAAAGAGCAGGGGTGAACCTGGCAGGTTCACGTCTGGGTTATCCTATGGGCAGAAGGTGCCTCTGTGGTTCCCTTAAGACCCTTGAATGGAACGTACTTGTGATAGGTTTGAAACAGCGAGATGAAGCTGTCACCGTGTGAGGCAGGAGGGTTCAGCACTGCGAGCTGCCCTGCAGAGTGCTGGAGCACGTTGGTGCTTACAGCGTCACTGACAGATGTGCTGGTTGTCAAGTAACGTTGCTATTGCTGGGAGCGAGCAGCTCCGCTTTGCTCTGTGATTTCCAGGGCACTCAGAGGAGGAGGAAATGCCAGCCTTTCGTTTACTTCTCCTGTGTTCATTGCAGCTGAGTCACGGGTCTCACTGGCATTGTCTTCTTGTGGTTTTTTCCAAGGGTTATCCTGCGTTTCTGAGCTGGTGTCCCAGTGAGTCACATGTGGATGGGCACGGGGAGTTCAGGCTCTCTCAGCACTCCCTTAGCTGCAGCATGGCTCTTGTCACTTTGCAGAGAATTACAAACTTTACTCCTAAGCCACTAAAATAGGTGCCTCTCCTAACTGGTGAGAGGTCTGGGTGGGTATCATGTGCTTTGCCTTAAAGTTGTGTTATACTGTGGTCTGCTAACAAAATAATTACTCAGCTTCAGGGCCTTCTTACATCAGAAGGTTAATGAGGATTAAGGATGGGAGTTTATGCATTTGAACTGTAGGAACAATTTCTAAATCTCCAAGTGTGGACGCATTTACTGTGGAACAAAACTTCCTTGTCTCTGTTTAGCTTAACTCCCTTTGACAGGAACAGGGAACTCCTAAAAGAGCAAAACAAAACGAGAGGAAAAAAGTTTATTTTCTCCTTTCCCAAAGTATAAACAGGAACAAGGCCATGTTAATACTGCTGGTAAAAGAAACACATGTTAAATAAAACAAGCAACTGGCCTGGTCTACCATATGGTAGAGCTGGAGATAATTCCCAGTCTCGGTCTATTTCCCAGCCTTGCTGGACCAGGGAGATTTGCATGGAGAGCTGACACATTATCTAGAGCAAGAATTCCACACAGGTCTTTGTTTGGGTTTTATTTTTACTTCTTTGTGCAGACTGTGTCTCAGAAGTTATTTGGAGGCACCTCCTCGCTCATTCACAAGAACAGAGTTGCCCTGAGGCCGCTAAAGCAGCAGCTCTCAAGGGAAACGGGTGCCAGGGCAGCGATCAGTGCACCTCGGCTGTCTTTAGAGGCAGGCAGCACTTGGAGACCAGGAGCTCTGCCAGCAGCACGTAGGCAGCCAGCTTTCTGAGCTTTCTGAGCACGATGGCTTGGGAAGCAGTGCTTCACAAAGGCAGCGTCATGCCGCACAGCAATGACTCATGCAGCAGCTGCAGGAATGGGATGACCGGGTTCCAGTGGAACCAGGGTGCTGCTCTGGCTCTTGGAGGCTGCAGAGATTGTCTAAACGTGAGAAAAGTACAAGTTCAGGATAACTGTTACTCAGTTTAACTATTTTGATCCTTCTTTAAATACAGTAAAAAGTAGGCATGTTCTGAGGAGCCCTGCTCTTTCACTGGCTTGTCAGGCAGAAATGGTTCTGCAAATCTGCCTGCTTTGGTTTTGGAAACCTTTACAGGAAAAAAGAAATTTGTTTATACTTTGTCTTCATTTTTTTAGTCTGCTGGTCTGAAGCCCTTATAGTATTCTTTTTGATCTTGATCTTGTTTTGATCTTGTTTCTGTTAGGGAAAAAGGAGCTGTAGAGAGAGAACTGTTTCTCATGAGTGAGGAATCGGGGAGGGATTGGTGAGGGGTTGATAGGCTGGGTAGAGTACTCACAAGGCAGTTTCAGAGAATACTGTTTCCATTCTTGCTAAAGGTAAATGCTTTGATGACTGCTTTTAATGCCTTCTTAGAAGAGGTGTCTTAATTAAAATGCCAGGATTTGGGCACTCCTAATCCAGGACAGGTGCTGGTATTTCCTGCGTTGTTAAATGTGTTAGTTCCAGGCTAAAGACCTGCTCGTCTTCTGGAGGATCACCTGGATGCTCCATGCCTCCCAATACACATCCAGTGCTTAACATAGTACCAAAGAATAGTTTAGGTCTGAAGGGACCTTTAAAAATTCAGGCCCCTGCCATGGACATGGACATCTTGAACTAGAGCATGTTCCAAACATAACCTGTTGGATCAGTCAAATCCAGAGGGACCTGTGTAAATCAGAGTCATGACTGACTCAGGTTACCAAGTGGAAGTTAAATTGTGGAGAAGACTTTGAACAGCCCAAGTTCTTCACAGGTCTCCAGGCAGCCCCTCCATGGCCTGTGTTAGTAAAGAGACCCTTCTTTTGGTGGCTGTCCTGTGTGTGAGCTAGTACAGGGCAGGAGGCTGGAGATGACCTGTTAGAAGGAAGAGGCAGAATTATTTTTTCCCCCTGTGCTGTACCACAGAGTGGCAGCTGGTGAGTTTGTCATCCTGGCCACTTCTGAGTCCTGTCTGCTCTCTCACACCCTGTGTGTGAGCCTTTGGCTGCTTTCATTCCTTGCTTTCCCACAGTATTGTCACTTTCCCCATTCACTCCATCCAAAACTATTGCTTTTAGGCCATTAGTGGGGCTGGCTTCCACAGCTTATTATTTTGGGCTGTACTTCTGGGTGTGTGTGGGGGGTTGCAGCTGAGCTGAGCCTCAGGAATGAAGAAGGGTGTGAGCAGTGGGCTGAGGGCCAGTGTGATGTGCAGGGGCTGTGAGGGGACGTGAGGGAGCGGCTCTGCACAGCAGCTGCACAGCTGGGGTGGCAGCAGGGACCTGGGTGACAGGGTGTGCTCTGCCCTGGGCAGCTCTGGGACGCTGCCCGGCCTCTCCCACCTCCTACAGCTGGACTAAACCTGTGGTTGTCGATGGCCTTGGCTGTGAGTGACATAAATTGTCTCCAGATGAGTTGTGTGGTACAGTATTTTTTGTGGTTGTTTCCTTCTTGAAAGTATCAGGCATGCCTCAAAACCTAAATAATTTGAGCAGAATGGGGTACCTGGCTGAAAGCCTATAAGCTTAGAGAAACATGTCTTGGGGTAGCTGTCCCAGTTCTGTGCAGCAGGCATTATGCAATGCAGGGGTATTTGCTGGAACAGTATCTAATTTAGCAAAGGAATCTGACAATTAATACTGACTGATAAGGAGGAATCTAGACATAATATGCTGTAAATGCTTTTGGCATTATTTAGATACCTGCTTCCTCCTCCAGGCTCCTGGTTTTCTGCTGACCATCAGACTAGTAGCCTGGGGAACGTGGTGTGCACTGGAATCCATCTGGGCCACAGGAAGGTTCCTCATCTATTCAGGAATAGGGATCTCTCTTTGTAGAATCTGATGCACAGCTGGGGTTTCAGATCAGTGAGAATCTGAAATCCTTTTCTGAGTCATGGAAGCCCTGCACTAATCTCCGGAATGAGCTTTGCACTGTGGATGGAATGCAGAGAGGGAAGATGTTGGGAAATGCTGAAAGTCTGGGGAAATTAATATTTTTTTTTCCCTGGGATAAAATGGAATATTGAGAATTTGCTCATCCGAAGCAGACAGAAGTAGACTCTGTAATCAGTAAGCAAAATCTGAGTGTTATTGTAATACAAGTAATTATATCTCTTATCTAATTCAGAAATGTCACACATTTATGAACATATATATATATATATATAGCTATGTGTGTTAGGCATATGGCTCTAGGCATCCCTGTGTAGTGATACCTAGTTCAGCATAAAAAATTACAATCTTTGAGCAAACTAAGACTTATTTTGGCAAACAGGAGTGGGCTCAGTACTTTGAGTTGCAGGCAGTGTAGCTGATTCAAGGCAAGCAGAAATCCTTTACTCTGAGGGTGTGAGTTGTTGGTCATCCTCCTCTCTCCCTGCTCCTGGGTGTATCCTGACCCAGACTGCAGTTCCAGCAGGGTGCTGCTCTGGGAAGGAGCCAGTACAGCAGTGTGGGATGGAATTACCTGCTGTGCTCTGAGTGCAGTGAAGGGTCCTGGAGCCTTGACGGGGTCCTGGGAAGCATATCTAACACTCCATTAGAAACAAAACATCAGGGCTGCAGAATATCGGCCTGAAGTAGCAAGAGGTGACCTGATACTTCATCTGCTCTGGGGTAAAGGGACTTGGCAGTCAGCGCTCCGGAGCTTCATTCTGATCAGTGTTTCCATTAAGAACTGAGATGATGAAATAAAACGTTGTGATTAAATGGGCTGGTGAGAGAGGAGGGCCTGCCAGCATTAAGGGACTGTAGTGATACTGAAAATCATCTTGACAAATTAGAGACATAGTCTGAAATAAAATTAAAGCCAGCAGTGATAAATAGAAGATACTCTGCTGAATTCCTGAAGCAGGAAGAAATGTAACGTGCTGAGAATGGTGATCAGTTCCTTAGACAGTATTCCTTTAGAAAAGTAGCTGGAATTACAGTGCATCATGCACTGGGTGTGAGGTCAGCAATGTCATGCTGTTACAAAAAAGGTGAACATCACATGAGTTTGTGAGAATGTGGGGCCTGGTAGGTCTCTGAGGAGCCCTTCTCCATGGCTGGAGCACTTTTGCCCAAACTTGGGCATCATTCCCCAAGAGCAACATCTGTATCATTGGAGAGTGTCCAGAGAAGGGTGATCTGATATCTCAGGGAGATAACTTGGGGGGAAGGATCAGAGGAGATGGAGCTGTTTAGTCTAAAGGAGAGAAAAATGGCAAGGGATGTGGTAGGCCTCTGGTGTTTTAAGAGCTGTGTTCAGAAGGGGCATCATGTATGTTCAGTGTCATGCTGGGTGGTACAAGAAATGAGGGGCTTTCTGGAGCAGGAAAACTTCAGGTCAGATCAGAGGGAGAACCTGCAATGCAGAGATTGTGAAACCCTGGAATGGCTGGCTTTGAGAAATTGCTGGGTTTCTCCAGCAGCAGTCATTAGGAAGGATATGTCAGGA